ATTCGGCCATGAGAGACTTCAAGTTCATATCCGGGTTTTGATCAAGTCTGGCTAATAAATGGGTACGGATGTCGGCATCTTCTGTGTTTTGCAGTGCTCTGATGAAAATGTGGTACTTGAATTGGTCAGCGATCAATGAACGAAGTTTGAAACGTCCACACTCAAGATTGAATCTGTCAGCAGTCCTGCCATAATCCTCTCCATCCTGTTTGTTAATTTTTAGAAACTCGTATCGGATACTGAATAATGAGGCTGACTCACCAAAGATTTCAGTATTCAGTATTGAGAACAGAGGNGTCAGGGTGCCCGGGAAAGCCCCATCACCACTGGGTCGAAAGTCCGATCACGTGTTCGTTCCTCCATAGCCCCTTCAGGTGCTCATCCAGACACCGTTTGAAAGCAGCGTCTGTCTTCTCCTCCACCACAATCGCTGAAAGGGAATTCCAGAGTGTTGTTGACCTACGCGAGAGTCGGTAGACTAACGGAAGACCACCTGACTGAAGTTCCCGCAACATGAGAGAGTGCCCCCGCGTGCGGTCCTCTATCCATAAAGGGAAGTACTGTTGCAGCTCCGGGTCCATATCATCTATCAGGATCTTCCTCAGACAGATGAGATCTTCTCTGAGGCGCCAGTACGCAACTGGGAACAGACCAGCCACCTGTAGACTACCTTCATAGCTGGTCCCGCGTAGTCCAACAATGATTCTAGTGGCAGCACGTCGTACACGCTCCAACTTATCCAGTTCACCGACCGTGCCGGGGTATGTTGCCTCACCACCACATTCAAATCTTTGTCTGACATGGGAAGGGTACAGCAGTCTGAAAGCGTCCATCGTGATCCGGTTGAAAGACCGCCGAATAGGCCCCAGAATGCTCCATGCGCTGGCACAGACCCAATCGGTGTTTTCTCTGACAATTGTGCCACCACTTCGCCAAATTTTAAATTTCTTCGTTGTTTGGGAAGAATGTGGTCTGGAGTTTTCAGTGATTCTAAGTTTTCGGACTATCAGGCGCACTCTCCATGCATTGTCTTGACAACCGAAATCTGTTCGGACCACGTCTTCCCAGCGTTTGAACCACACCTCGAAAGTGTGACCAGTTTCAGGATCATAACTGAATTCAATGTTTGAATTTGCAAGCATTTCGGTAGCGCTAGAAGAGTTTCCCCGCGTGGGTTCGAATCCCATCCCCGTCGCCATTTGTTATATCTTATGCCAAGACGTATGATCGATACGTGCGCCTCTTGTCTAGGCCCCAACAATTAGAGAAAGAACACTGCTGAGAAACGAGTCAGAGTGTATTGTTGATCATGAAACAACACTCAAATATATGTGGTAAATTGGGCTTATGAGAAAAGTCGTGATGACGCACCAATCAGATCTTGACCTTGTCACTCAGGCTGATCGATCGTACGACAGCTATTTGATTCGCCTTAGTCATCCAATCAGGAGTCGATTCGGCTTGGGCGTCACGAGCGCACTTGTGGTGTGACGCAGGTCGACGCGTAGCCGGACGAATTCTGTGCTCTCCGTCCTAACAAAAACATTGCATGAAAAATGGTACGTGAGGGATACATATTTGCATACTTCAAATCACAAACGGTCTGATCCGCTGCCCGGTAGTCCAGTGGGTAGTGAGTTTGTGTTCCACTTGTGAGGTCCGGGGTTCGCGATCCCCGGTTGGGTCGATTGCTTCGCACTGCTGATGAAACCTAACCAGGATGAAATAGTTGTCCAGTACTTCTTAGCTTTTCAGCTCACTCTTCATTGACACGAAGAATTCATCCTATTAAACAAATATTTATTTTCAACTCAATACTACTCTTAACTTGGAAAAATAAGTTAAACCCTTTCTCATTGAAAATTTTGTTTATTTTTCAATATTATTCCCCTTAAATTAAAAGATTACTTGATCAAACTTCATATTTCGGTATAGTTTGTAAAGATGAACAGCTATTGATAATAAATCACTCAGTATGCTTTAGCGTTTCTCGATGGATCTAGAAAACGGTGTTTGCGAAGACATTTTTTTTTCAATTTACTTATCACAACAGGTGGTGACATGTTTACCGATATCTGAGTGATTAACTAAGTGATGGTTAGCACTAGTCCGTGTGGACAGAGTCACCGAGGGGGCGTCGTGAGAGGACAAAGGTCCAATGAAGTGACGGTAGGGAGATGAACAAATTAAAATGTGGATGAAAGTCGCGAGCTAAGATAACAGAGCAGGATGAGGTAAGGTTAGATAAACTATGAATTATACGCTACGCATAGCATGCCGTGTAATTGAGAAATGACAGGAGGAGACGAAAAACCGATCAATATAGATCTGTTTGTTTTTCGAATTTTCATGCTTCCCCACATTGAAACAGCTTATTTTTACCATTCCTCTGACAATCCGCATCAGTCATCTTGTTTGTCTTACCGGCAACCCTATCCGGAATATCTGTGGTCAGTTCTTCTCGAACCAGATCAAGTGGAATCAGCGAGGAAGTTAGTTCAGCTCATTTTGCTTGCATGCGCCGATCTCCAATTTCATACGTAAAACTACGATATTCGATAGAGACGAAATGTCTTCTCATGGTGGTAAATTCTGCTTTCTGGTGACCAAACGTTCCTCATACTTGACCTTGATACTACGACGCATTATCAAAAACAAAGTTTGATCGCTCACGTGGTAGCTTTTCACTTCCACAAATGAGTCCACAGAACACTTCCTCAAACACGACGGCTGTTGTACAATGAGACTGAGAACTGCCAATTTGGTCCTGTGTCCAGATAATAACGCTACTTCTCAGTAGGCCAGGAATGAAGAATCTATGTCAAGCAATTACGGACATATGGACGAAAATATAAGTGGTTTTGTGTTCCAGTAAAAGCATGGATCCCTTCCCCGCCACGGAGACGTAACCTATCTCAACTTTTGACGTGTGGGTCAATCGTCTGACTTACTTGCTGTTTGTTATTCCCGATTGTGAAAGGCAATACCATATCAGATTCATCACCGGAACCAAGTGTGGCAGAAATTAAGGTTGCTCTTTCATGGATTATTCCAGTATTACATGAGTTCAATGAACGTTTTCATCACTGAATCCCACGTTAATCCATTTAACCTACCTACCTACCACGTGATATCTGGTGCACTATAGACTTGACATGCCAATTATCGTTTGACAAGGTACTATTGACATCTGATGCGTAGCTACTTGTAGCCATAGCTGGGGTCAAAGGGAAACCAGTGCTCAATTGTCCGAACTTTGTTCTGTTCGGTAGACGGATTTGTTACTTGATTGAGCACTGTGCCCAATGAATCTGTTTCGACATTATTGGAAATATTGCTTCGAAAAGTCACTTTTCTTGTGGACAGTTCAGCTACTCGCCTTCATTTAGTGAACGGCATGCGTAAAAAGCTCAAGGTAGCAGTATGTCAAAAGTATCCTGCCAAATTCAAATTCAAATTTTTAATATGGGAAAAAAACTTACAAAGACTTCGCTTAATAAATCCCATAGGGTGTTTACACTTTAGTTCAGAACCGCTTCGATTGATACCGTTTGTTTGTTTCCTAATTTCGTGACAAATTTCCAGATCGGTGCCAGTTTTTTTCAAACAGATTTGTATTTCGTTCTGTTTCAACATTCTCTAATACTTTTCTGGAAGTGAATCAACTGTGAAGGTTTTGCGGGGACGCCTTGCAGTGATAGGTCGTTGTGCATTGCTCTAGATACTGGTCACACGCTCGAATGACTAGGTGAAGCATAGTGTCCACGTGGCCATCGATGTCCACATAGTGCGCGAAAACCCTTTCGCCTAATTCAGCCACAATATCCGAACTGAAATCTATGGTGTTGAAATATATGTATAGGATCCCAACAAGCCCATCAACCCGCATGTATATTTTGATGTCTGCGAAAAAACTTGCTTGCCAGTGGAAACGTGCTCGGAGAATCATGTACTCCCTGGTTCTGAGTCAATCCCGCAAGTTCACGAAAAATAGTTCCATTTTTAGATTCTTATAATGAATTGAGTCTCACGTGGGAAAAAAAGCGCTCACTGTTCGCGCTCAGTTCCGTTGTCCTCACAACGAAAACTGTATAGACCGGGTTGACCAATGCAATCTTTAGTACGGAGCATGATTCGAAAGTTAGTCGTAGCTAAACTTAATCCCTGTCCCACTCACCCCCCTCCACCTCTATAATCAGTTTATCGGCAGGTTATCGGAAACATAGGATACACTTATGTCTAGTATTTAGGTGAGATTCCGAAAACGTCATGACTTTGTATGTGTGAGTATAATATTTGTATATATATACATATATATATAGGCCCCTCCCCCCTCCGGGTACCACTTCACTCACTGACATATCAGCCCTGTTTACCGTGTGAATGACCTTGAAAAACGGTTCACTGAACCAAACCGGTTAGATATTTTCTTTTCCACAAGCAGCTTATCGATCGATTTTCACTCACGCATGATGATCAGTTGGAATTCGCACTCAGAGATAAACAATATCTGTAAAGGTTCCGTCATGTGTTTGTTTGTGTGTGTATGTGCACGTGATGTACACCCGATTACAAATGAGAATTGTTGATAACTCACCTGGCTGTTTCGTCTCCGAGACCTTTCAAGTCGACTACGGAACCATTCCTGGAACGTCGTGTTACACTATCCGGATCCATGTTCTAATAAAGAAGCGAGGCAAAACATTTCCGAGTGAAAATAATTGTGAGTAGTTGTGCAAAACTGAAACATGTTTGATAAACAAATTTGACTTAGTTCGTGTTCCTTAATCCTAGCGGATTTCCCCATGGAGTCACTCGATCGCGATTATCGGCTGGGGACCTGTGTTCCTCTCCGTTTCTAACCGGTTTGCAGCTGAATTAGTATCACGGAAGACAACAAATCTAAACAAAACTGGAATTGTGATTGCTTGAGAAGCTTGGTATCAGCGTGTTGGAACAACGTGCGAGAGACGGTGAGTTGGAATCCCAGATAAAACGGTAGATACACACGGATCTACTGAATGTGAGCAATACGTACAAAAGTGGCTCCATAGATGAATCATTTGGCGGGTGAAAAAATCGGGATCACGTTTTCAACTGAACCAATAACTGTGATAATGTCCAAGTAAGCTGAGAGGTTGTTGAATCAAATCCGGCGATCTTCGTAAATAGCCTATCATCACCGTTTTTATAGCAATTGGTAATAGGAGGGTAGAGCAAAATATTTCTGGATACGCAATACACGTATACAAGGTGAAGATGATCGGGTAAGGTAAACGTGAAATGTAATCCAGTGAGAATACTATTCAGTGATAGCAACTCACAGAGAAACAAGTATTGACACAGCCGAGAGCACAGCTCACAAGTCATACGAGGGTCGCTATATACTCGGACGTTCTTAAGGATGGAACTCAATCGATGTCACTGGACAGTGATGATTTTCTGCAACTATAAATGTGGTTTAAAGTAGTAGTAGCAGCAGCAGCAGCAGCAGAATATTGATCGTTTGCGAGCTGCCTACGGTGATGACTCGACTTCAGGACGTATTATATTTCCAAATGTCAAGCGCATAATACGTGGAATCCGATACGAGTCACCAACAGATGCAGTAGATGTCTTCGTTGAACTGCGTGAATTGTGACGCGCTTCGGCATGGTCGAACTGTTGCACCAAATAGTTTGCGCACATGGAACCGTGAATGAACGATAGATGTGAAGACTACTTCGAGAAAATCCAGTGTTTATTTTTGTATAACAACTAAAACTTTTTGTATATCCGGAACTGTTCAGCTTAGCCCTGAAAAATACCTCTCCAGGCATTTAAAACAAAACACAGTTCTATAACAGATCACACAGTTAGATACGGTTAGCCCCAATCATGGCTAGAGACAACGTGAAAGTGATTGGTCTTGAACCGTCCTTTTTGCTAGTCATGACTAACTGCTTGGCTGTGTTCTTCGCTGGTCACCTATCTATCCTTTAAACAGCCTAAGAACATTTTGTCAGACTGTGTGTGTGCTTTCCGGAATTCGCGTCTTCTCGTGAAACTGTCTAGAGTAAATTCAAGACACATAAGCTTATAACACCAAACAGCACATATAATCCCGTCACATACGACACCGGGTACGAGGGGGCGCGCTAACGAATAGAAAAATCGACCAAAACAAAAGCGATTAGAGAAAAAATAAAACTTACCAGACTGTTAAGGGATGTGGTTTTCTTTTTACTGTTTGGAGAAAACGAACGCTATGGAAATGAAAAAAAGAAAACATAAAAATAAATTGGAACGTCCAATGTTAAGATACGTAAATGTTGTATATTGTTGGCGTTTGGTTGTACGTGGCCCCAATACTTCCGCGTGAAACAAAAATTCACCAAGGTCCGCATTGAGCGATACATACCGGACATTTTATGGCCCACTGAAATTGAACAAACCCGGCTATGTTCACCTTAGAAGACGACCATGTTGATGTAGTGTAACTAAACGGAACATCGAACGGCATGAGTTCGAATCCCAGCATTGCTGACTTATCTTTGTATTGTTTCACTGCCGTTGAATTTACCGTTTCCCTCTTCTCGATTAATGATTATACATGATTTCAAGTTAGGTAAAAAGAAAGCCAAAGATCAATATTATCAATATTATTTGAATATCATCATACCCGTTCTCGCTTATTTGTGCACGTGTAAAACCATATTCTTTGATCTTGATTCTTTGTGCTCTCCGACCACCCACGATCAAATATTCCACCCGAAAAAGTTCTCAACATATCCTAAACTAGGGATAGTTCAAGCCCCTTTGACTGAGAATCAAAGTCAACCCAAATACTGTTTGCTGAATTCCGCGATTGTTCAGAAATAGCATTTATCATGACAACAATGACCGCCGTTCTTTGTTTTGTATTGAAGCTTTAGCGTCTTATATACAAGCTTTCAGCCGAAAACAGACCATCAATACAATACCGGTAAAAAGAAGGTAGAAAAAGAGACATCAAACGGGTCAAACCTGTGGATTAACCACTAAATGCACTGAAAGGCCCGGAACGAACACTTTCCTTGTCGTTCAGTATCCGGACAAGAT